ATATGTGTTCATTATGACTATGAAACCGCTGCTTCTATGAATTCGGGCGGCAGACAGTTGAATCAGGGATGATGAGCAGACCATTTAAAGATAAAAGCTCATGTTCCCCATGTGCTTGGAAAAAAAAGAAAATTATCTCCAAATGTGCTCCGACTGTCCTTGCGGTGATTACAGCTCTCACTCTCTCGCTCTTGCTCCGTTTCCACCTTTCTAATCTTGACTCAGGCTAATGTATGTACACACTGTTCAGCAGCGTAACTACTGTCAAATGTCACATCCATTAAGGCCACGGCAGGACGCTCGTTTTTCCTGCCAAGTCTGTGTCAGCCAGAAAATCACACTGATTCACTATTGGGTGAGATCATGACGGTGGAGAATTTTAGATGTTCACAGAAAAAGACAAAATATTATCACAACATTTCATCTAAGAACAGGAAGTAGAGAGAATAATAATTTAAACAAATTCGGGATTATTTTTTTATTTTCATGCTCATCATTCAGATGAAAATGACGTCAAATCATGTTCTTCCAACTGCTAGTAAAATATTTTTTGTGACAACACATACTGTATATCCAATACCTTTTATTAATAAAACAGCGTTTCCATGTCAACATCTACATATTTTCTGTGGTATTTTCAGCTGATTAAAGGCAGCTTCTATTGTAAACACCACAGCAGTGGTTTTATATTGTTTAACCCTGTATACGTCTCACAGAACGCTGAGTGCAGCCACACATGAATACAATGAATCACATGCTCCTCCAAACAAACAGCCACACATATAAACCATCTCTTCAGACTGCACGTAGCTTCAGGCTACTCAGCACATGCATCAAAAGTGTGCATATATCAGAAGTGACGTTTCCACAATATTCTGCAAACACTTACACTGAAGAAAAAAAAAACAACTCTCTCCTGGGGTTTAAACTGACACATCACAGCTTTGACACAACAGACACACACTGTTTGGTTAGAAACCGACGCCGTGACGCTTTGTTTTCCTACCAAAAAAAATAAATAAAAAATGAATGAAGTTTGTTCATTCAGATTGTTAATTGGTTGTTGGCACGTTCCCACGTCTTCATTTGATGCAGAGCAGCTCTGTCATGAAGGAACATTTTCTGCCAGGGTTTAATAAACAACCAAATATAACTGTGCAGCTCCAAACTTCCTGTGGACAATTAACACACACCACTGTCATCCAGAGGACAGGAGAGTGGCCTGACCTTTTACTTCTGTCCCGCTGAGAGCAGAGCTGAGCCTGATATTGAGTCACACCTTCAATAATCCATACACTGGACTGACAATGGTGGGATCGGACTTTAGGGACAAAAGAGCTCAGTGGTTAAAGCAAAAAGAACGCCGTTTTTTTTTTTCTTTTAGCAGGGACATAAATCTATATTGCATCATACTTTGGTTGTACTCTGTTGTACTGCAGTAAACACAGGCTGGTCTGCGGTTGAAGAAATACTCAGAGAAACCCACACTTTGACAGCCCTCGCCTGTGAGAGAATGTCAACGCTGACCCCGGAATGTCACCTTCACCGTCTGACATTCTCCTCAGATGACTGTAAAATAACAACCGGCGTTGTACTCCTGTATTTTGTAGCGTCCCACTCACTCGTGCCAAGGAGACACGGGAGCAACACCTACAGAGGTTGTAATAATAGTTCACAAAGAGCTGGGACGTTCAGAAGGCTGTGAGTCACAGCAGCACACACGGAAGCCAGTGATGTGGAAGAACTGAGGCCCAGGAGATGGAAGAGATGGAGCCTCATGACAAGTGTAGACTGACTTGGTTGTCAGTAACACAGATTTCTATATATAAAAAAAATAAATAAAGGGAGAAGAGGATTCATGAGGTTGAAAGTGGGTCAGACAGGTTTAAAAAATAGATTAGAGCGAAGCAGACCTAATCAGAATCTTCTTCTGGGTTTATCGTGTGTGTACGCCGGCCTACGGTGGGTGACTTTCATCCAAGAGCTACGAGATAATCCTTTAGTTTTACCTCTTATTCCTCCCTCCCCGTCAGTGACAAAATCAATGGCCAGTCAGGTTAAAATAACAATCAATAAATAGAAATGAACAGCATATCCAGAAAGGACTGATGTGCCTCTCATGTAGATGAAGAACAAATGATTATTCACAGCTGTTACCAGGCAATGAATAAATAAATAAATAAATTGATAAAAAAAAAAAACTAAAGTTATCATCAAGATGCACAGTAATTACCTTCCACTAAATCCATGAAGCTACATCTTTCCATATAATTAATTGCTTAATTTGTAGGGATGTCCGATATTAACTTTCTGTCGATATCTGATATGCGAAAATGTCCAAACACTTAATTTCCGATTGCGATATCAACTGATATCGATACGTTCGGTACAAACCACTGTATAAGTATGCGATTAATTAAATGAGCTGCAATACTGCCATCTAGTGACCTTCGCTTTAATATTCAGCCGTTTATCCCCAAAACTATTTTTAGGGCACACCTCATATGGCGAAACCCAGAACATTGCCTTGTTGGGTTTTCATTATCAGAGGAAAAACCGATAACGTTTCTTACCATCTTAAAGATATTACATAATCCAGAAAGGTTGACTCACTAATTATAAAACGATTGAGTCATTTCGATAACGAATAATTGTCATTAATTTACTGCTATCCTGTGATTCATTCGGAGGATGTGAAAACTCCTGCGTTCACTCCGTTGCACATTCACTGAGTCGTGACAGAAAGTCTGAAAACTGCTGCTCTGTCCATAAACTGAAACATCTTTGATCCACGCTCGGTGACAGTGTGGAGCGCTCCGAGTCTTAACTGAACACACTGTGGGCAAAAGATGGACGGGCAGACACATACGTTAAAAGCAGGTCAGTGCTTACATCATCCAGCAGGGCGTCTGCTTCTGGGCCAAATGAGCAACGTGTCTGGGGACGGCGTTGATGCAGCCCATGGTAAATAATGACCTGGTAGAAAACAGGTGCAGTCCTCGACCTGGTGCTACACAATACACCAGTGACTCCAAAATTAACACCAAGTCTGGGTGAGTCTGGATGAGTCTGGGTGAGTAAACTTATACAACAACCCAGTCTCTAACTCTGCCCCTGACATGCAGAAAGTTCAGTGTTTGATTCCCATTGGTCATAAAGGGCGTCCAGAATAAAATAAAATAAAAATGATGCTAAATCACTTTGCGAACTATTGGTGTGGTGACCGTTAAGAAAGGAACAAAACAAAAGTCAATTTTAGCCTCTAAAGCTAAACACATGACCTGTTATTGAAGTAAAATGTTTAAATGTTAAGATTTGTATAATAAAGATAATACTTAAAATTTAAAAAAAATAGTTTTAACCTGAGTACATTAGCACCCTCTAACGGTATAGTAGGGGAAGCTACAACCAAAATGACGGTTTATTTTGTTATCGTTTGAATAATTATTTGTTGAGGCAGAACGACAGGACCGAACCAACTATGTCTGACATTGACGTAGAGCTACATTCAGCATTAACTTTATTAGTTAAAGGATTAAATACTTTAGATTTTCATACGAAGATTGAATTAAATCGAACTGGATCCTAATGACAGACGGGGAACACCTGCGTTCAGGGCTGAACTTGGCCAAACAAAGCGGGACAAACAAGTCTGTTTTCTGTCGGGAAAAACCCGAGAAAAGCCTCTTTAATTCTACACTTTACGAGTTTTAATTTAATTTCTTTTACCTCGTGTCGACTCCTCAGCTCCGTCCACACGTGGGGGACAAAGGGAATCCCGACGCCGTCTGCAGGTCGGACCTTCACAGCGCTGTCACATCACAACCGCCAAAAACCAGCTTTTATTCCGTCCGAGTCAGTGTTTTTGTCCATCCTTTACTGGGACGACGTGACTCCACACAGTCATCGACACGGTCTGATAACACCAGCCTCTTCTTCTGTTTATATCTGAAGCCCAAACTGACGCGTTAACAGAAGTAAATCCCTGGTCTCAGTTTGTCCCGGCGGCAGCATCACGGTGTACGGTTCAGCCTCCACAGGATCCACGGTTCCAGGAATCAGCTCCTTTATGTTGGGAGGGGTGAGGGAGGGGGGGTGAAGGAGGCGGAGGGCGCTCTGAGATTTCATCTGGTGTTTCCCATTCAAACAGCCAAACCCTGTGTTCATTAACATCAGGCAGAGACACAGAGACGCAGACGCAGAGACGCAGACTTCAGCTGCAGATAAATCCTCTCAGCGTCAACAAGCACTGAATACAAACATGGAAAACTCTCTGTCTTTACACTTTAATTAAAGAAAAAAAAAAACCCAACCAGCTGAAGTCTTCTGGACACACTCCAGGGTCAGAAACCAGCACAGCAGTGTAGTGTAATCGATTTACTGTAGTACATCTGTGTAGTGCACAGTAGTATACGGTGTATTGTGTTATCAAGGACGTGTAGTACAAGTATAGTGTAGTATAGTGTAGTGTAGTATAGTGTAGTGTAGTATAGTTTAGTATAGTGTAGTGTAGTATAGTATAGTGTAGTATAGTGTAGTGTAGTATAGTGTAGTGCAGAAAACTCAAAGTGTGGGGCGGGGAACAGAGCCATGACAGGCGCGGACATTCTTTAAGGATGACGTGATGATGTCACAACTGGACTGATGTCATTGATTTTGATTCATTGTAAAATATGACATTACTCGGTGGAAGTTGGATCATTTTGAAGTGGAACTTCTGAGAGAGACCAGGGGAAGGTGGGGGGATGACCGGTAATATAACACTGTAGTAATAAATAGTGTTTTATTGTATGGTGTAGTGAAGTAAAACACAGGAAAGTATAGGACAGTAACAGCACAGGTCAGTATTTTGTTGTGGTTAAAAACTGCTGCAGTGTTATCAGTGTTTAGACTTGGAAATACGTTAGAGTTGGTACGAGGGTAAAGGGAGTCAGTCTCCCAGTCCTGGTTGTACTGTAATATTTTACCAAGGAGCCTATAAAGGCGACAAATCAAGTCTGAGTCTCCCAACAGTATCTGCCGTTTAATAACAACAATAAAAACAGTTGTGGTTTTAGTTGTAGCAAGTATTTACAGTTACAGGACAGTAAAGGTACAATACAATCTGTAAATATACTATATAAATGAATATAACAACTAAACCGAGGTTGGAGAGAATTCCGACTGCGATGACTGAGGTCCACCTGTTTCTCTGTTAATGCCGTCACACTGAGCAGTGACCAGATAAAGCTGGAGAAGGAAAGGAAGTACTCACAGCCGCAGGCTGTACAGCTCTGTAAAAAAACAGCAACTTAACTTAACTTAAAACAATATTTTCAGGAGAATGCATGTGCAAAACCTACAGTAAAAAGCTGATTACGGCAAAAATATAAGTGAAAAAACAAATCCCTGGAATTTTAGCAAGAAATAAGTTCAGGAGCAGACATTGAAATAAAAAGAAAAACCTGATGAAGAAGAACTGTCTGTTTCAAGCCATGGTCCAACTGTGGCCTCAGCCTTAACACAAGAGGCTGCTGGGAAGAAAACACAATATTACATTCAGCTGATTCTCTGCACTCTACCACGATTACCCTTCGTACGTGCAAAAGCCTAAACAGGGCTGGGCGATACATCACTGATAATAACCACATATGTTCTCTTACCCTGAAATGATACAATTTGATTCATAACAATAATTCAGTTTGTTTGTTTCTGGACTCCACCCTGCTCTGCCCTCTCACCTCACACTGAGTGACAAAAAGGCCAAACCAGGGCAGGAGGCTGGCTATTCCTACATTATCAGGGAAGGAAACTTTTACTGGTTGAGAAAAGCTTGGTTACTAGTCAGTGACTTGGGTTTATAGAATCAGATGAGCAGAGAAAGAACAGTACTGGGAACCAGTGCAAAGCAAAAGTTCAAGCCGTCACTTATGAAAGGGGGGAGTTTGTGGGTGAGACGAATGAGAGTGAGAGGTTGAGTGCAGCGTCACTGTTCAGAGCTTTTCCTGCTATATTCAAACCTAAACTAAAAGCTCCTCATGTGCACTCACCACCTGGGCTCTCCTCAATACTGTAGGTGGCGTAACAATATGATTTATGTAACCGTCATGTCCGTTAACTGTAGCTATCGTGAACGTTTGTCTCCAACACAATACAGGTTTTTATATACGTGGAAGCAAATAGCTTTTAGTTCAGTGTACTTTATTTAATGTGTATTTATAACTATGTACTTTTACTTTTCAGTTACATGTGTACTCTATAAAAAGAAACTTGGCTTTGCTGATTTTGTTTCCGTCTCATGGGGGGAAATATTGAGTTTTTTTTTTGTAAAGCACATCGCCCAGCCCTATGGTTAAATATAACCAACTCAAGTGTTCAAGTACAAAGTGAACAGTTGGTCCACTGGGTCACACAGCTCCACTTCATTAATGTGTATATTTATAGGCATGTTACTGCTGTGAATCCAACATAAAACTGTTCTCAAAATCTTCCAGCTCAAAAAGTCCACTCTGTGAGAAAAGGCCACTCCACCAGGGAGACAAAGTCGCTCTCTATTGGTCCAGACCGCTCCATCGTCTGCATCCTCAGTCAAAGACGAGCTGCTGGGGTTGAAATTCTCGGGATGTTTGATGACAGAATTCAAAATCAAAACAGAAGTGTTCTGGTCCAGCATTCTTGGCGGGAGGTCAGTAGGGGGCCACGTCAGTAGTTCTTTTCAAGTTTGCATTAAAAAAAAAAAAAGAAGAAAGAAACACTCCGACTGACTAGCTGTAGAGTGTCAACATAGCCTGGTGACAGCGTCTCGTGACTCTGTGTCAAGAGTTCAGAGTGAGAGTGACTGCGGCATTCTGGGAAAACAAGGAAGTCAAACTGTGTTTGTTTGTGTAACAGACTGTGTGCGTCAGTGCCCGTGTGTGTCTGGCCGGGCGTAGACGATACCAAAAAAAACCCGTAGGCAGCAGTCGAGGACAGATGTCAGTTGGTCGTTCAAGCGTCGAAGCGACAGTCGCACAGTTCCTTGTAGATTCTCTTGCGGATGCGAGGCATGTCCTCCTGACTGAAGAGCAGTGGCTGCTTCACTGAGAGACGACGGCAGTACTGACACACAGACAGACAGACAGACAGGCACAACGAGAGTGAGACATAATAACCCAAAGACTCCCTAATACAGCGTGGGTGTTGACAGAAGCTTCTCATTAATGTCTTTACTCCCTCCCCTGGAGACCGAGCAAATCGTCCCACTGTGGACCTGAGACGGCAGTGGAGACGATGGTAAAAGATGTGATTTATTTCTTCTACTGTGATGAAAGACGGTTGTTGTGAAATGGAGAAGAGCGATGAAGGGAAGTGTGAATGAAAAATGATTTGTGATGTGGAAAAAAAAAACCAAAGTCTCACCTCCAGGACGAAGACTCCACAGTCGCTGTCGTTCTTCTGCTGAGGAATACCCTGAGGAGTCAACAAAGACAGTCAAGCAGAGAAGACAGAAGACGTCACAGAGAGTGGAGCGTGAAAATACTGAGTGAATTTAGTGTACATAAAAACAGCGTTACTACTGTCTATGGTGGAGCGGGGTGCCTTTGTGTCGGAATACCATTTTCGCCATTACACGTCAAAAGAGTCTGACTTACGCTTGGGAATGAAAGGCAAAAAGTTCCCAAAAAAACCAAAAAAAAATATAGCAAATGTAGCACAATCCAATGCATGGCAACGTGGAACAACCGGTGAAATCAAACAACTGTCTAGTGCGTACATCGCCGGGTGGTGGTGCGTCCGTCTGTTTGCCAACTAGTTCACAAGCAAATGTTGATGAAAATAGATTTTCTTAAGAAATTTATGGGATATGGCGAAGTAGCCACAAACGTATGCTGTAAGTCGATGACATGAGTAAAGCAGCAGAACTCTGTGTCCCCTTGAGTTTAAAATATCTGAGGACTTTCTGCTGCCAAATGGACAAGTGGGTCATTTAAATTTTCCAGTCATTAGCAATTAGTTCCCATAAACTTGAGATGATCTGTATTTGAAGAGGTCAATCCTGATTTCCCTCCTGAGGGGACCTACATCACCAATGTGAAGTCCAGTCTTAATTATAATCAGGATGACAACAAGGTGGTGGTTTCCTCTTTGTGTCTTTAACCCACACTAACTGCACCTTCAGGACACAGGGCGGCTATTACAATCAGGACGGAGGTTTACCTTGATGATAGTAATTTTCCAGCCTTTCTGAAAAGACGTTTGTTCCTTCTCCTTGGCCTCAGACTGAAGGTACTTCATAATGTTCTGTTCGGACACACACACACACACACAACACTTATTTTACCAGTGTATTTATTTATAGCTTAATTCAGTAACATTCTCCTTGGTGGCTGAACCTAATATGTTTATCATTCAATTCCTGTGGATGAATTTTCTGAACTTTTTAATATTTCTGGAGAATATTTAAAAAGTAATTTTTTTTCACTCCTTCACTTTGACTCATCTCAGACACATTAGTATTCGTCACAGTTATTTAAAATCGGCTACAGTCATCTTTAACACACTTTCCATTCACTCACGTCTGTGGTGTGTCTGAAGACGATGCCCTGGCTGTCGTAGTAGCTGATGGTTTTGGTTGCCATGGTCACCGTGACGAGGGACCAGTGGATTTCTAAATGAATGGGAATTAGCAGCAGCCACTTGGAGAAGAGGTCGACCTGACATTCACAAAGACAAGTTTGGCCTGAGTTTCACTGGGGAACAACCATAGACATTAACAGTTTGAAACAGTTTGAACGATAAACAACAGTTAGAAACTTTTGTTAAAACTGTTACAGCTTTTCTGAGAGCTATTATAACAAGTCAAGAGGAGCTGGATGTTAATCTTATCTACACCTGGGGGCGCTGCTGAAAAAGTATGAATCTCCCCTCCAGACAACAGACTCTTTAGCAGTTTTTTAAACAATGAGAATAAAATAATTCTACATGTAAAATAACAACTGTTTTGTATTCTCAATTCACATTTCACTCAGAGGTGAGTCACACAGGTCTCAGTTAATAATTTATTTTGCCCTTTTCTCTTTAAAAAAATATAAAGTCTATTTTTTTTAAATTTTATCCAATTTGCATCAATTGCACCATCTTTGATCGACACCAGTTTGCATTTGTTAAAATTGCAAAGCAAAGAAAAAACTAAACACCTTTTTTGTCCATCTCTCACAACCATCGTAACCCTTGGCGACCAGCTGCTTGTGGAAAAAGCTGTTGAAAAAATGAACCTGAAACATAAAAATAACAGAACACAGTCATTGTAGTCACTCCAGCACAGACAGCACAGACCCAGAGAATCATCCTGTATGTGACAGTACAGCGTTTCATCACTGATTTACCTTGTGTCCCGTGGCTTCCATTATAAGTTCTCCATACATGTTTATGATCTACACCGGAACAAGAAAAGTCCAAAGGTTTACTGGCATCGAACACTTGATCCCAATAAAAAATAAATAAATAGAGGAAGCGGAGAGACTCTGTTTTCCTTTTTTTTACCTGATCATTGAGCCAGTTCTGTTCCTCCAGCGTGCTCAGGTCCTCCAGGCTCAGGTTGTGTTTGTTATGCATCACTTTGAAGCCCGCGATTGGAGCGGAGGCCAAACCTGACCTGTACCTGCTCACCTCCGCCTTAATGTTCAGACCCCTTGGAAAGTCACACACAGGAGAAGAGAAAAATTTTAAAACAACTTTTGATACATAGGACTGAAGGTGAATATTTTAAATTGTTATGGAAAATATAAATTAATTTTGATTTGATAAATTTGACTTAACCAAAATGCTTCATTTACAACAAAAAAATAATAATATGCACATTAAAATATATAAATTAACAAATAGATGTATACACACATATATACAATATATACATACATATAATATATATGAAATGATATACATACCATTTGCTGTGATCAGAGTTGCCGTGCTTCTTCAGGTGCTCCACCACGTCAGTCTCACTCAGAGGAATGAAACTTCCATACTTCATGTAAAAGCTTTCTAGAAAATCTACAAAATAATAATGAATCGTCACACAGTGACTTAACTGCAGGACACGTACACAACATACAAAACTGTGTCAAGAGTGAGCGTATTCCTGTACATTTACATTTTCTCTGTTTCTCACAGGACTACGACTGTAGTTCTTGAATCTTTTTTCTGCTTTTCCACATCATTAATTCAAAAGATCAACAGGTGAATGGATTCAAGGTAGAAACACTCACCACTGAACAAGTGTAAGTTGAATTTCGTAATTGTGGCAAGAATTATTAATCTTTTTTCTTCTTTTCCCCATCATCCTTATTTCTAACAGCATTCAAAAGATCAACAGATGAATGGATTCAAGGTAGAAACACCCACCACTGAACAAGTGTAAGGTGAATTTCGTAATTGTGGCAAGAATTATGGCTAAAATCAATAGCTTCAATGTTACTTTATATATTTTGTGAACGTAATATCCAAATAAGTACTGAACATACGGAGCTGATGGACACCTTTGGTTGTCCTTTGTATGTATTTAAAGTGACAATGATAACTTCAAAGGACAGCAGGTATTGACTGTAGAGTCCAATTTTAGCAGCCAATACTGGGACTCAAACCACCATTTGACAAACACTGATTTAAACATCCATCTTACCATGGACCATATCAGTCAGCTGCAACAACTTTTCTTCATTGTGTGAGTTCCCGTACGTCCCAGCCCCCTGTGTCACCTCCTTCTCCTCCTCCTTCTTCTCCCAGGTCCCTGCCTGACAGTAGAGTCTGTGGTCTCGTAAAGCCCACTGGTGGTGAACCGTCCACACTGTAACAGGTCCCTGGTTCAGATGAGGTGTTTCTAACGCCATGGGTGTGGACGCATGGTTTTGAATGGCTCCATTGGACAAAGTATCGCTCTGGTCCACCTGGATCGCAGAGTCCTGATTCTGAGCAGGTAAGGAGCGGGACTCGTAGCTGAACCCATCTGACTGCAGACCGTTTTCTTGTTGACACATGATCATGTCATTGTCCTTATCGTCTCCTTCAGGCTCAGAGTCAGACAGGTTCACCGTGTCTCCATTTTCAAACAGAGATTTGACAACACTGCATGGAGTCTGATCTCCACTCTCCAGCTCTGCGTCCTTGCTCTTCTTCTCACTCAGCACCTCCGCTGATTTAGCCGCAAAATCTGTTTTTGAACCAACGACCAAAACACCATCACTCCATTTATTAATTCCAATGTCCACGTTAAGATTGGATGCAGATTTAGGGCCCATCATCCTCTTCCCTCCTCTTCCTCTAACCACAGCCTCGCCCCTGCCTGTCATTCCTGACAGTCCCATCTCCAGACCACTGTTACCTCCATCAGCACCAACCGCTGTCCCTTTCATTAACTTGTCCTCATTTCTCTGTGAACTCACATTCTCCACACAGTTTGTTACAGAGCCACTGAGCAGTGGGACGGCAGGTAGTGGAGGAAGAGTGTGTGGCTGTGACTCAGCATCCATTCCGGTCTTCTGCATCTTATTTTGTGTGTTATTTTCGATATCTGCATCTTGTGCAGTCTCATTGGTCAAATCAAAGCTAGTGATTTGTGTCAACTGACTTGCTTTTCGTTTTGGAGTTTCCCCGATATCCTTAACAATGCTCTTCCCTCTACCCCTACCCCTCCCTCTGCTGTAGGTTTTGATGGCATTGTGTCCTTTGCCGTTAGGTCCACAGCAGTCACAGGCCTTAGGCGTCCTCTTCCTGCCTGACGTACGGCCATTGACTGGGATCAGAGCAGGCGTCTGTGGAGAGATCTTGGCAAATGAGGGACTTGGGTTGGTTTTAAATGTGGAAGATGGTATGGAGGACTGACTCAGGTCTGAGCTAGCAGGAAGGTCTGTGCTGAGGATGGAAGGTTGGGAAGAGTCTTGACCAGTGTTATCTCCAGTTGGAGGCACCAGAGGAGGTGCTTCATGGAGGAGAGGTTCTGTCGCAGGAGCCGTTAACTGGGGTGGTGCTGATGGATTTGTTGTCATTAGGGAGTTGGAGTCGCTGTGAACCATGACGTCCTCCTGAGGCTCTCCAGCCCCATCCCCGACTCTGCCGCTCCACACTCCTGTTCTCCTCCGTTATTTGTATCCTTTAAATTTGTATGCATTAAAATGTCTGAATAGTTTGATTTTTTTTTTCCACCACTGTGACAGTTGCACTGTGACTGTGCACGTGGCGTTACATTAAGGTGACCTTCATGTTTGTCATGTGTTCCTCTGTTGTAATCAGGCCGTAGATTGTATCCTACAGAGTAAGGTCAGGAAGGAAACAGAAGACAAAACAACGAACAGACAGAGAAGAGAACAGATTCGTTTTAGTTTCCCTCTAATTTGAAATGTTCAACAGCCTTACATGACATGTTTTATTAGCCAAATAGAATAAACACACTCAAAGTAAAGGACCAAACTGTATTAAAGTAGATCAGCAATACAAGCAAAATGCAGTATGATCACATATAATAATGTATGTCATAAATTGTGACAGCAAGTAATTAGCAAAGTACAAAATACTTTTAATGAAGCAATACTACCTACTAAAAGTCCAACACCAGCAGACTAATTATATATAAAAATCTAAATCATATTATTGTACATTTTGGTTTAGGAGGTGATTGAGATTTTTTGTACGCGTGATTAAAAGTGACAAAAGCGTGACGAAAGGGCATTTGTATTGCAATTAGTGCCATTTAAGATCTATGCTTGTTAACATCCAACGCAATTGTATAGAGGTAATATTCATACGACTAGATACTTTACGAATCAAATACGAGAGCTCAAAAGTACCGATAATACGAACTCGTGCAAAAACTATAGGAAGTTCTGGTGCTGTGTTTCTTTAATTAGCCCTGAGTGTGGAACAGGCGACGCTTTAGTTACGAATAATATTTTCTGAGCAGCGAAACAATAACGTAATGCCGTTGTATTATTTCTGTGTCTAATTCTCGGCAGCATATTTTTAGATAATCTCGCAAACGCAATCAAGTTAGAATAAATGAATACAGCTACGGCTAGTGTTATTAAATATTGTGCGTCGGGCCACTGCAGTATCTCCGCGTTCACGCTTGTAAAATAATCCGCCAATAGCCTTCAGAATTAGGTCTGAGGTGTCTTTTTTAAATACTCGTCATCGGTGAATCATCTCCCCCAACAGCCCGCTGCTTTCGCTGCTAGCGACGGCCAAAGAGACAACAAACACAAAGCAGCCACTGCTCACATTTCCTCCATTTTTAGGAGGAAGTTGGAGGCTCCCGCAGACAGTGAAGGAGCCGCGAGTCAGTGTCAGAAGTGGTGATTAGTAGAAAAACGATGATAAAAAGTTGCAAAGGGGAAATTCTACTGTACCTTATCAGTGGGATAACAAACAATTACATATCACCACGATTCGAGGAAACAAAACGAACGATAGTCGCCCATTGATTGCGTCATGGCGCCAACCTCAACTTCGGTTCTTTCCGTCACAAACTCGAAGTCACCTCTTCTTCTATGGCGCGTAAATGTCAATTTCTATGTAGGTTTATGTTCTACTGCCATCTGTTGGCAGTTGTCAACCAAATTCCCTTCATTTTTGAGTCGTAGTTTATAGTATATGTTCATCGATCTAAACATTTCAAAGGTCTGTTGACCACATAAATATTGTTATAAAGCAGGCTGTTCTTTGTTTTATCAGAAAAACGTTTCTAGTGCTCAAAATGTGTTTATTTGTCTGGTGTGAACCTATAGTAAAACCTTTTTATTTTATTTTTTTTAACCCCAGTCTGATATTATTAGAATGAATAAATAACATTATTAAAATAACAACACATCTCAAAGTGTATCCTGGTAATCTTTAATTATAAAAATCTAAAACTGAAAAATAATAAATAAAACTATAAGACAAAGAAAGTAAATGAACTAAGTACAAAATTAACATTTCAACAATAAATGTAACATATGGAGAATATACACACAATCACTGGATTTCCTGACACCAGTGTTTCCCAGCCTTATCAAAGTAATGACATTATTTCTTTTACAAGTAAAAAAGAAAAATACCACAGATAATGTACAAACTTGTTAAACTTTTGAATGACAAAAAAACTTAATAGGTGCAACATGCAATAAACCAATGCTGCATACAATCCAAAATATTTTAGACAGCAAAGTTTGAGACTTTTACACATACATTTTGAGGAATATTAAAGCTTACTTTTACAGGATTTCTGCATTAGTTTTAGTAAAATAGTGACAAAATAATTCCTTTTTTGCCTTTCTGTTCATAAAGGATTGTATAATATTCTTCACAAGCATGAGTTACATCTGAACCACAAAAACTAAGAGAAATTTTTCACACTTCACATCCAGGACTTTGGCACTAATACAGAAAGAAAATGTATGGAATATGTAACAATGTCAATGAAAAAAAAACCATGGTAGAAATAAAGTGTTAGGGTGTTAATGGTGAGTACTTGGTATTTCTTTCTCTTTTTTTTGCCATGTTACTATGCATAGGTTAATTAAGCAACTATTGGTAAATCATATGGTTCACACTTGTACGTAGTTAACACAGTTGTCACAGTAATTCATATATTTCTTTATTACAGCAAATGTACAACATTCCTGATGTAATTCAATGCAAGAACAACATTTATATGTAAACATAAACAGAGGGACATATTAATATTAAGCATTACTGATGTCATTTGCACTTGAGATGAAATAAAAACTGGGAGGAGGTGGGAGTTGACGGGGGTTAAAGGTGGTGCAGCAGCAGTCACTGGCAGAGGTTGAGTTTTTTTTTTTCATTCCTGGAAAAGTTTCACTCAATAAGTCATAAAAATGAATAACGATAAAAAATACAGATCCAGTGAAACCCATGTATTAAGAAAACGGTACCTTTTACAGCCTGGAGCTGATCGACGGAGTGTGAATGGTCTTTGAGACGGCAGCGCCATTGCTGCCCCCTGCTGTTAGCACCTGTAGCTGCACCTGATAAACACTGTCTCCCTGAAGGCCATGAACCGTCACTGATCTCTGTGACTGTGAATAAGGTAAATAAAAAGAAGTAAAAGTTAGTAGAAATAAAACATAGAAAACAAAAAAACTCCAAAACTGAACTGTTTCTGTCCCACCTGTGCGATCGTCTGTGTCTGGGAGATCAGCATGTCATCCTGTCTGTTTCTGGCCACTGTAACTGACTGCAGTGTCCAGGTGAACTGGAATCCCTCCACTGCTGCAGGGTCCAGTGCATGCTGGGACATCTTCCAGCGGAATGTGGAGACCAAAGTGTCGTTTACTTGTTCGAAGTCAGCAGTGAGACGCTCTGGCCGCAGTACCACTTTTCGGCCTGACAGGAGGCGCTCTAACACAAAGACAGAGCAAACCGTACCTTTAACATCCACGCAACACTACTCAACAAATATTCAATTCTTAATCTGAGTTTCATTGTACTGACAATAATTCCAATTGTGAATCGACTTAATTTAAAATAAACCAATCAGGGAATTCTTTGACAACACATGTTGCAGGAAGCACTTAACATACATGTTTATAAAGAGGCATTAGGAGGTCATCTGACCGGTGAAGGTCAAAGAAACACCGCCTTTACATCTGTCTTTAGTTACCCCTACCCTCTGTGGTGCAGGCCAAACTTTTTCCTCCTCTGACCCTGATCGAAGAGCAAGTTGGGGTTGTAACCCAGGCAACAGCCTCTGACCCCGGGTCAGCCTTAATTGCCACGGCGACCTGGTACTTACAGGCAAACAGCAGACCTGTGATGGTGTGATGGGTGCCCTGAAGGGACAGGAAATCAAGACAAGTCAAAAAAAAGTTTAAACCAGGTGTGAATAAAATGTTCAAAAATGGGGATGAATGAACATGAACCACATCAAGACGACTACGTTTGGGAAACCTTTAGAAATGGATAATTGACACCTTCAACCACAGATATGGTGTTTTTCTTGACTCTTTGTCTTTTAAAGAAGAAAAAGTAGAACTGAGATCAGTCTGGAATGTTCTCCATATCACCTTTTCCATGTCCGATACAGACACCAATGCTGTAACCTGGAGTATCTGCTGTTGCTGATACCAGTCCATCCACACCTTCTTTTCTCCTCCACTAAGTGTTCCATAATAATACGTGTACTTTGTATATGTGTACTCAATATAAACATCTGAAAAAATATAAATATATTGAAACTGAAATTAAAACAGCTCACAGTGTGGCTGAAGTTATTATATGTATTGAAACTAAACAGCTCACAGTGTGGCTGAAGTTATGCAATACACAGACATTTAACATTTCTGACAGACTCAGCAGCACCATTCAAACGTCCAAAAATGCTGTTGTTAAATCAGGACATAAGGTTCTCCATGGTATATTATTTTTATTATTATTATTATATGCACCTCCTGGGCAAGATCGAGTCCCGGTTAGATCGGCTGGTACCTTCTGGTGGACTCACCACCCACAGGAAGGTTCAGGGGGGTTGGTACGGAGCAGTGTGATTTGGGTGGCGGTCGTGGAGCCTGCTGCCCCCGCAACCAGGTAACGAATAGGCGGATGAAAATGGATGGATGGATGGATGGATCATTATATGCACAAGGCTAAGAATAAGAATTGGTTGTAAAATTGATGTCACTTTGACATGAAGATGACGCAAAAGAGAATTTAATCTTGCTGAGAAACTGAAGTCTGCAGATAAACCACCACTCAACTACCAGGCACCCCCCGCTCACCACTCCCCCACAATCACACACTGTTGTTGCTGATTAAAATGGTAACTGAAGCACCTAAAACCCACACACACTGACATATTTACACCGACAGGGTTACGATACTGTAAATGTGATATTACACAGAAACCTTTGGCCGAGAGACAAATTTACGCACCAATGGAGGAGGAGAACATTCCGGGTTGATTTTGAGTTATGGTGATGAAATCAGATCTCTAATACACACACACACACACCCATAGAGTTCCAGCGACAACACTGACATGTGAAATACCAGACACCTGCGCACAATTTGCCGGAACACGGAGACACATAAAACTGAGTGACTGGTAGTCATACCTGCACTGTTGCTGTTCTCTCTGTGTCTGTAACATTAGTACCGCAGGTATGTGGATGCCACCGTAAAACGTAAGGGCCGGGGTGTTTCTGTCTGCCTGTAAATCAAAAAGAAAGAGTGAGAACCAGACAGATACACAGACTACATGAGTGGACACGTATTTATGCAGTACACCAGGAGGTACACCACAGTTTACTACAGTGTTTCCAACCTTTGAGAAAATGTCCTGATGCTAACACATTATAGTTAGTTCAACTTTAACTTCTATTTTTACAGTTGGTTTTTTTTCATCCAGTTGGTGAATAATGAGTTACTTTTTATGTGAAGTTTTGGCCTTGTTTAACTGCAGACAGAAATTATCTGCTCAGTGATCCACTTGACTAGCCTGAAATGATTTGTCAGCTTCTTGGTCCTGAGCTGGAGACACACACACACACACACACAAACTGTCTTAAATCAGTGACATTGAACCAGAACAGTAGAACTGCGGGCCAAGTACGAGGCCAATGAGCTGAAACAGACTCAAAGCCTCAGTGAGCCAACAGCTGATGCAGACTCAGGTCACCGTTCTCAGTCGGTGCTACTTTGTTCTTACATTATGTTTAGATGAAGGAATCTGAAATCAGCTGATGCTGACTTTTTATACATTTTATTTTATTTTTAATTTGATGCTTTCCCACAGCGTCCCTTCGATAGCTCAGCTGGTAGAGCGGAGGACTGTAGAGGACATTCCAGTCATCCTTAGGTCGCTGGTTCGACTCCGGCTCGAAGGACAAAGCTTTTTGTCAGGATTATTAAGTCACTCGTCATCAGTGAACTACAGTCACTTTGATGTGGATTAATCATAATAATAATAATATGCATTATTATTATTATTATTAGTAGTAGTAGTATAACAAACTGCTCTCGTTTTAATATTTTTATGTATCAGAGTTGTCAAACCAGTGGCCTGGGGACTATTTGCAGTCTGCCAAAATTGTTTTTCGGTCCACCCCTTGATCATCAGGTTACACTGAAATCTGCTGAATAGAACAACCTCTCAACCTCACCACATCCATCTGGACATGTATCATGCAACAGTTAACTGACTGTTGAGACCCCTGATGTATGTGATAGACCTCTGTCTTAGTCTTTTAGATTGGAACCAAAGTATTTTGTAGTAGCAATAATGGTATTTATAATAATTATAATATTAATAATAATAATGTAATTTTTTTTACTGACCTTGGTTGGGCCACTTCCAGAACACCTTGACCTGCAGTTGGTTGTCATGGTAATGAGGCGCAGCAACCTCCAGCCGCAGTTTCTCAGAGTTGGGCAGAGGTTCAGCTCGAGGATTTGAAGAGGTCGGTGAAAGGTCAGAGGAAGAAGGGAGCTCATTGGAGAAGTCATCACCTGTTGGTGGAGTGGAGAAGTTTGAAACATCACAGTAAAAAGTGAATAAAGATTTTTTTTAATTATTCAAATCTAGAGTACATAATTTACAAATAATTAATGTGAATTATTCATTAATAAACCGGTTCAGTAACAGTAACAGTTAAGACGGATGAACTCTGTTTGTGTGACTGATACATGAAACTTGTTACGCTCCATAAAACATCCTCTGTGCCAAGAAAATCATAAAGTGCTGACAACAGTGCAGCTGGATGTTGCTGTTAGTTTTGTTTTTTTTTTAACCCAGACCAGTTTGACACTCATTAGCTCAAAGATTAGCGACCTTGATTTATTTATGCAACGTGTCAAACTGAGTCACTGATTAAAGCCACTAAATTACAAAAAATAAAGTTCCATGTGATGTGATTGTTAGGCTGTAACTGTGTGCAGGGCTGACCAACAGGTCACTCATAAATTCTTCTGTTGTCTGGACGAACATTCACACAGCTTTCCATAGTGTGTGTATAAGTGTGTACTGTAGGTGTGTTTAAGGCAGTACTTTTTGGCAGCCCAGTGGTAGGTGGACAGAATTACAGAATAACTCTGAACCATTAGGAAAAACATGACATCACTAATGTTACAAAGTTACAAAAGACATATTAGTAAAATAAAGTGCTCCAGTGTCGTCCAATATTTCAGTTTGAACCAGATTAATTATGAACTATAGGAAATTCAACACCCAAAATATATATCTGTCACCAATTTAAAGTTTAATTGTACAAGACGTTGGGTCTCATAGTTGTGATTACACCAGCTGGAATGGAACTGTGATCAAATGAAGCCTTTTCTTACCTGAATGACCTATCGTTGTGAAAACCATTTGAACTCTGGGACTTTTGAGCCTCTTCTGCCCCCAGAAGGTCACTGTCTGCACTGACAAGACGTAGGACGCAGCAGGCAGAAGACCCTGCAGCCACAACTCACACTGAGCCTAGGACAAGAAAGACGGCATCGCTGATAAATATACAGTTTGTCCTAAGACTTAAAAAAAAAGACAAAGAAATGTCATCACACACAATTCAAACAGCACAAATGAAAGCTTCTACCAGTGTTTCTTCATCATCATCATCATCATCATCATCACTGGTGGTGACCCAGTTATTGACTGAGGATGCAGAGCTGATGTGCATTAGTCTGCTGTTTGACTGACAGCTCATTAACAGACTCTTAAACTGTCCGTCCAGTCCATCTGTGTGGACATGAGCTAGTCACAACAGACTGATGCCTGGATGATAACAAATCTCTCTGTGGTCACGTGTGTGTGTGTGTGTCTGTGTGTGTGTGTGCATCAACTGAGACTGGTGCGTGAGAGTGCAAGTTAAAAGCAGTTATTTGGTGACCTGCTGTCCAAATGGGCTTTAAGTATTTCCATAGCTGTGATAGTCAAAACATATGGCCGGTACAGCTGCGTGCATGTGTATGCATGTGCAGGAGTGTGTGTGTGTGTGTGCGTGAGAGTGGGAAGCAGCGACACAGGCCTGGATTTCTATTTTAGCCAATAATGTGAGTGGACATCATATGTAAAGGATATATATATCTATATTTATAAAAGCACTGATTCAGCAGAGGGTTCTAAATCTGAACGACTTCGACTTCCTCCAATTTCCTCTGTTCGTCTAGATTTAATGCTAAGTCTCTGCAGTGCTGCGTGAATTCCTTTGGCGAGAAGAAACCTGGGGAATAAAGTGAACCGTTTTACAATAATGAGAATAAATAAGGCAGCAGCATAAACTGTTGAGTCTCTACGTTATATGTTGCTGATGCTGCTGTCCATGTGTGTGTGTGTGTGTGTTTGTGAGCGTGCATGTGTGGATGCAGCTGTGAGTAGGAAATACTAGTTGGGGGGGGTCTCGTTTAAATTCCAGTTCTCCCAGTCAAGCAGAACAGAGGACCACACTACAGATAAATGGCTCCACCAGGCTGAGTCTGGGATCACCATGACTACTTCAGATGACCAGTCCAATATGACTGTGCTTACATGAAAACTTTAAAAACTCCACTGTTTACGCTTTTGTCCCTTTTCCTTAAATTAAGTCTAAACTTCAAAGTTGACGTCGTCTCAGGACCAAGGGTTCAGCTCAGGTTCTCCATCGTTACTAATTGGTGGAGGTTAAAGGGACGTTTGAAGGTTAACTGAGCCAAAGTACAGACAGGAACAGGGTCTTTGTCAAAGCACAGCAGCCGAGTAGCAAGTTTTACAGCAGTTAAATAATATAGACTTACTATAAAATCTTCTAAAATCTTCAACAAAGTATATATGGACTCCAGGATAACAGTGATCACCAACTGGCAGGTCAAGGGCCAAACTCGGCCCACCAAATCATACAATCCGGCCCAGAACTGGCTTCTCAAATAAACATTAAATAATTTACTTGGATGAAATTCTGATTTTTTTTTTATTTTATTTTGTGTCTTCCCCCCAAGCTGTCTGTCCAGAAAAATTCTGGCACTCCGACAAATAAAATTGGTCACCCCTGCTGTAACCTACCATGTCTGGAATCAAACCCTTAACCCTCCGGGTGTATGACAACTGCAAAACCAAATTTAAAGAATGAAACACAATTTCCTCACTTTAACCAAAGCTACAGATGACAAAGGTTCAGTATCAGTATCGAATTCCCTCCGTAGTAGCTGCCAAGTGCATGCAAATCTGAAATATAGGGCAACATCTCAGCTGGAGGTTGTTCACCTTCGGCTGCACTTGAGGTAAACATGCAACAGAACGTCAGGACAGTCACGTTCCAACTGCCTGAAAATCAATGTAAACGTCTTCGGTCGCATGTCATTCCAGTGATGTAAAGCTGGACCAATGCTGTCCTTGCCCTCTAACAAAGTTATGTCCCACAAAGATAATGGCCCGTCTGCCCGAGGGCCATACTGCATTTTCAAACCCACCAGAAACATATGCAGAAAAACTCTGCAAAAGCCCTGAGTAGAACAAACCGGTGCCAACCAGCAATTTCAGGGTAAATATGTCAAAAGCAGATTTAAAATACCGCACATGTAAAAAAAGTGATTTTGGTTAATACATCAGCGTGGATGATTATAAAACCACATCCACCAAACACAAATCGACTTTTACAGTTTCATCAGTTCTGGTAAGGATAGGATGTGGGTAAAAAAAAGAAAAAAAAAAGATTAGGTAGAACAGCATGACCATGTTTTTGTAATCACCTTATTTCTGCTCATTATATAAATCCACATCCCTAATTGAAACATCTGGGCAGGTTTTTTTTTCCTCGACGTCTCCATCAAATTCACATTTGTAGGAAGTTTTATTGGACACAGGTGGATCAGCAGGACCTGAAGTCATTATTTAAGGTCTAATATTAAGAATAGAATGAGAGAACCAGCTGCTCACTTCAACTGCGTCTTGTTTATGACACTGCAGCTCCAACTCCACATGACAGAATTCCTACATAAAGATGATGTGAATATTCCAGCAGGCACTACCACATGCACACAGTAGCTTTTTTAACTCAATGTGTTTTGTTTAAACATAGCAAAGGCCTGTAAAACTCACAGCAGGATTCTCCGGCACAAAACAAAAAGTAAAAGGCTGCACATGCCTGTGTGACATACGTGTTTACAGGACTAGTAAAATTCTCAGGTGCAGCTACAGACCCCAGTAAAAACACTGACTTACTTTTCATCTCAAAGGTCTGTTTTTCAGAATTAAGCCTTTATTCCCACTGTTTCTACAACAACAATTAATTAATATATAATTCTGTTATATTGATGTAAGAATGATAACTCTAATTATTTGTTTTCATCATTCATAAGCATTTATACCAACTGGTGGCACGAGGGCCGAATCTGGCCCGCGACTGAATTCCAAAATAAAAACCCAATAATAATGAAATAATAAAATCTTAATAATAAAAACGTACGAAACGAAAAAATGTTTGGCCCTCCGACAAATATAGTTTTTGGTCCCTGATTTATAATAATGTGGATATAACAGTATGTAAATTTGTTGTTGTCGGACCAAGCTAAACCGCTCGGCGCCTTTCTAAGATTGCACCCAACCACTACATCTATTCATAATTTAATTGTAATTAATTTATATGATTGTTGACATTTTTTTTTTCACAAAAACTTTTGTTTTAAAAAATCAGAATCAAGCGTTCTCACCCCTTGAGTCACCCGGCTGCTGCTCTCCTTTTTCCCCGGCTCAGCTGTGCGTGCGTGTGTGGGCCGCGTGTGCATGTTGTTCTGAACCAAATGTGTGTGTCCTCTCAGTGTGTGGGTGTGTTTATGGGCCGCATGTGTTTGTCGAGACATCCAGGTGACTCTGTAGTTGTGCACAGGCAGGTCTCCTTCACTGGGGGGCTCCCAGCGTATCAAGACCATGACAGGGGCCACACTTCCCTTTGACCTAGACACAGGAAACAGGAAGTAAAGAAAACATCACAACACACACGTAAACAGATTAAATGTTGACATGTTGGGGGACGTGAGAGGGGGGGGGTCAATCTGTCATTAACTTCAGGTTTGTGTCATATGAGGGTCAGAACGTTTGCATCATCGTGTAGAACAATTTAAATCTCCGCCTGTGCTTTTAAATATTTTACAAGAATGTCAGTGACGGTATGTCTGGTCTGACCTTTACACGACCTCCGTGGAACTCCTGTTTTACATTACACCAACATTAAAGTGCTACTATTTACAGCATGAATAAACAGGGATGAACTTTATAATGCATGCAGCTGCACATCAAGACCAGGTCTGATTACTATTAGTGTCTAATGACAGACTACGGCGCTGTCACTGGTTATTCCAGTCATCTTTCATCAGTCCAGATACCTCTCTGTGAACTGGCCGCCTGTTTGTGAACTGGTCCAATCAACAGTCTGGTTGATGACTCGAACGTTGACTGGAGGCTCTGGAGGTGAGGGATCTGTAGAAGGAGACGGGGGGGCTGTTATTTACTGAAGTAAATCATCATCCGATTAAATATTCACTCTTTCTAACCCATTAGAAAAACCCATTGCCACACAGTCATGTGAAATAATTCAGATGAATTCTGATATAGCTGTTGGTGCTAAAGTTGTCAGAAACCATTAAAATCACACAAAACGTATTAAGATATGGCAAAACCACTGAAGAAAAATAAGTCACTGCAATTTTTGAATTATCCTGTGGCTTATATTTGGTTTCACATTCATCTTACACAATCATAAAATACTGCAGTCACTTCTTTGTGTATTTTTTTTTTCACAAGATATTTTTAGATTGGAAAAACTCACTGGGATATTTCACCAGCATAAAATTATTAGTCTTTTAAAATAAAACAGTTATTTGACGCTTAGTCTGTGATGATTGGAGTTGATTTAATCATATGAAAAAACATTCACACATTTTCATTTTTATTACAACCACCACAATGTGATACAACCCCTGGTAGGCTGCGTACTGAATTTAGCTGCACGAGCTCAAAAATAAAAATATAACTGTCTTTCTTTCTTTTCTCCTCAGTTTCTTTAGAATTTTAAATCCACTCAGCTCTTTCAAAACTGATGGGCATCAAGTTTATTTATTTTAAAATAAGCAGCGGCCATTTGCAACTTTAATTGAATTGTCTAATAACTTGAAGTTTAATGGGCTACAACCGACAAAAAACCAACACAGCCCACGTGGGAGGGAAAAGGCTAATTTTCTACAGCCTCATTCAGGTAATTGAATTTTCGGCATCAAAGGTGGGCGACACTGGAGACGCCCGACGCCTCCTCTGTTCAGTAGCTGCTGCAGTACAGACCAAAGAGAACCACCGCTAGTCACTGTTTGCCTTTCAAATGAAATCCTGAGGTCACTGCTCTCAGCACTGGCTCTGTGTCTGGTTAGAGTCTCAAATCCTGGTCCTGTATGTGATTAAAAAGACAAAATGTATCTGATTTGAACTACATCCCCCGTGGCTGGCCCCCCACAGGACCTGCAGGCTGTACTTGACCGACCCAGATGTCGAGATCAAAGTTAGGACAACGTATCAGGTCTGCAGGAACCAGCCTGTTTGTGTTTGCGTATGTGTGTAGAATAAACAGCACGTCTCTTTGTTATTCATGTAATAGACAGCGTTAGTACCGATGGGGAACATTACCCTCAACATGTGAGCTCTTTTTAACCTCAGATTCTCCCTGTATCAGTTCAGTTTGAAATGATTTTCCAGTCCAGAACATATACACAGAAGAGCTGCCAGGAAGCCCTGTGGAAGTCTAACATCTCAATAGACAGGAAAAGGTTTTTGAAAATCATATTCCTTCTCTGGTTAACACGGGGTCACACTGCTGGAACCTCAACAACTCCGGTATCTGCCAGCTTCCTGATTTGTAACCCCTGACCCCTAGCCCCTGACTAATCAGACTAATGAAGTGGAAACACAAGACTCTGACTGTGATCAGATGGTATTTGGAATGTTTAAGTGTGTCTTTAACCTTTGACCCCGGCGACTGAAGTATACAAGAGTGCACAGCATGAAAACACACTTGTCTTTTTATCCATGTGGGGACACCATTAGACAACATGGATTTCTGGGCTCTTTAACACTGAGCCCAACCAAACCCTGGTGCCTACGCTAACCTTTAAAGCCTTACCTACCTTTAATGGTAGCGCTGCATCCTATAACCTGCTTTACTGCCACCTAATGGGCCTGTTTTGTACTAGAAAATACATTCCACTTTCCTTTAGAAGTAACACAATCACTGCTCAGTGATCAGTTTTCATTCTATGGTTTATAATTCTTATATGTATTTCTTGCAAACTGAATTAAATATTGCCATATTTCCTGTAAGAACTGGGAAAGCTGTTGTTACCAAATTGCTTCATTATTAATAATTTTGTATTCAACACACACACACTGAAGGAGTGGTGCAACAACATGCAGATAAATAAAGTTCAAGCTGACACCACCCGTCTGTCTGTCAGCTGTATATTCTGTTACAGAGCTCTGCCAGTTGGCTGAAAACATTTTCCACCACTTGCCTGCACATCATCCAGACCTGCAAGACTCTCCTTATATTATGTTGAAAAAAAAAAAAGAGACAGAAATGTGAATGACACTGATCTTCTCAGCTCACTCTTAGCGAGAAGGTAGTGTTCTTTCCATATGTCCAACCACTTCACTGGGCCGATGGGCGACCAGAAGCTGCCAACACACAGGTTGTAATGTTTATAAAGCTCTGCAGGAGGCGCACACATCTCCACCATTTCATGTTGTGTTGATGCCATTGGAAAATGCAATTCCAGACGACCTCGTACTCCATAGCTGATAAAGAATTTTTTTTTCCTATGCTGCATCCAGCCTGAAGTCATGATTTACACGAAAACATGTTCTAGCCAATCCTGGCAGGGGCTTCATATCTCCAGCCAATCCTGGCAGCAGACCAGTATGATCTAAGCTGGCGAGGTATTACAGCGGGGACCTCCTGTGGTTTGTGAGTGTTTTTGTGCGCTTCTGACTGTCTTTCTCTCCCCTTCACTCTGTCTCAGGAGTGATTTGAGATTTTCACTAAGGCAATCCATTTGATGTTTAAAACATACATGTGTACGTTTGGCCCCTCTGAGTGTGAGAGCGAGGAGATTTACTGTGCATCTAAATGTAAATTCCCTTTCCATGTTGACTGGACCGTCTGTGCGTTCAAACTAAGACACAATGTGAGTTCCTTCTGTATTTCTTAAGTGAAATGAGCTGAGCTGAGAAGAACACCCTGAATGTTTTTGGTGACGTTTGTTACCTTTACTGGAGATGTAGTGTTTGCTCGGTGTGGTGAATCCTCTGCTGCCTTGGCTGTTGATGGCCGCTACTCTGAACTGGTACCAGCGCTGAGGTCTCAGATCTGATAGAACCACCTCCTCAGAAAGACTCTAGAAAAAAGAAACATCTTTTGTGTTCAGGTATTATTATTATTTTGAGTGCTTTTAAATAAGTTTTGTGTTCAGGTATTATTATTTTGAGTGCTTTTAAATAATTGACTTAAATGTAATCATTTAATATAATAAAGCTGAAATCAAAAATGTATTGAATTGATGTGCAGAGCATTCAATTCAGAAGATTACAGCCTGAAAAACTGACCCTCCCCTGCAGAGGGCGCTTTAAACACAGTTTAAAAGTCCTTAAAGCAAATCCAACTGTACAAAACGATCGACCAAAAGTTCTGCAAACAGTTGGACCAGACATAATTGGGTCAAATCTGATACTAGCATTGACCCAGTTATGACTTAACTGCCAGAGTTCGGCCATTTGTCTCTTTAACAGCACAAATAACCACAGCCACGATGCAACTCATACACACTGGCACAAATACACACACACACACACACGTACACACAGAGACATGAGCTGCCATCTATTTAAGTCCATAATGAGCGTACAGTCAGTCAGTGTCAGCCGGTGGAACGACTGTGGCTGCCTGTGGTTCCTTTTTAAGCTCTGCTTATTTACCTAACCTCACACAGGCACACACACACTGGTGTGCAGCGTGCGCGCACACACACACAAACACACACGGTTTACCCTGGCAGAGTGGCACAGTGGCTGGGGGTGGAGAGGGTTAGACACCAAGGCAGCAGACTGATGAGGTGGAAACAGCCGAACATCCTTCTCATAGCTGAGAAGTTTCATCATTGGAGGCAAATTGAGAGTTATGAGGTAAAGATAGGCTGCGAACTCTGCAGCACTGTTGACTGCACCGCAAAGCATGTATTATAGTCTGAGAGACTACACATCTTTAAGTTGCCTTTTTTGATGGAATCAAATTTTTTTTTTTTTTTAATTAAACATGAAGTTTTGTTGATTTTTATTATTATTATTTTCCTCTCTCTCTCTACCTTATAATGTTCAATTTTCCTCTCTCTCTCTACCTTATAATTCTCTTCCACACAGCAGTAGCCGGGCTTTGACGTTATTAAGATCTCTCACAGAAACACCTCCCTTTGTGGTCAGGGATTGAGCTCTTCATCAAGATCAGTGGTTGTAGCCGACCTGCTAATCCCTAAATAAAGGGCAGTGATGAAAGGTGAGAGGCAGCTGCTGCAGTTACCATGGCAGCAGTGGTCCACGGAGTGGCATGGTCTTCACTGGGATGGATGCCCACGTTCCAGCGGGACTGGAGCAGGTAAATAACGGGCTCCACGCTGACGTTGAACTTTGACAACCACAAAACCTTCACGTGACCCTCCGAGTTCTCGATAAAACTCATCTCTCGTCGAGGCTTCAGAGGCACACCTGAGGAGAAGAGACAGAAAGAGGACGACACTTGAAAAGACATTCACATTTTTTTATATTTATATAATAATCTTTGGACCGCCCTAGTTTAACCTGAGCTCCTCTGATCAGCTCATTTCCAATCCTGGCCATTCTCACAACCATAACAAAAATCTTCAACTCTGCCACCTACAGCTTAGCCTCCTGTTTTTGGGACAGCGCCACCATACATCAGAGATGGTGTCACCCCTGTGGCTACCCTTCTGTCACACACAAACCCAGGAATGTCTTCACCCAACCAGCGTTCCTAATCTCCATATCTGTGCAAATTCAATTGCTCTGGAAAACGATTTGTTTAACAAATAACAATTTTACACAAAAATCTGAATAAAAAAATGAATTCATGTTAATTACATTTTGTCATAAATCTGATCCATGCAAATCTACTATATAGACCTGAGAAAGGACTATTTCTTTTTGCAATTTAAATTGAAAAAAAAAACAAGAGAAATTTTAGACTGACACAGTGATCACTTCATCCCACTTCACCAAACTATGCTGGTGTAAAAGAATATAAAAACAAAATAATAAAGTCAGAGGGACTAAGGCTAGGGATCTTTCCACCTTTGTAAAGGTTGGCTGGGGCCTGGCAGGTGTGTCCACAGCCATTGGAGCAGCACTTTCTGGGGGAGGGACAGTGTTGGTCGGTAGAGCAGCTCTCCACACAGGCTGCTGCAAATCCTGTGGCTCGCTGGGGCGGAGGACAGTCGCCCTGACGGGACAACCTCAGGGAGGTCAGGAACTCCCTGCTCATAACACACTCTGTTTGCTTCTGAGAGACACGGAAAGACAGCGAATGAGAGTGTGTATGTAATTGTTCTGAGGACAAATGACACACGTCAAAAAAACACAGCAGAGGTCAAAGTGTTTCTTTTGTCTGAACGTCTAAACTCTTTGAAAGCAGCCCTGGAACTATGGTATGTGCGGGACTGACTGAGTGTGTGTGTGTGTGTGTGTTACTGTTTCTGTACACACGGCTGCTTATTACCAAAATGTAAACATGAGCTCTAGCTGATAGTTCTGAATGACCCTGTGTTCCTAAGCAGCCAGCCAGTCAGCCATCCAGCCAGTAACATGCTCCAGCTACTGTGATGAAGAACTAAGAAAACCACAGCAATGGGTTTTGCAAATAATCATTTAGGGCCACACACACACACACACACGTGTACGACACATGAGCTGCATTCAACAGCTCATAAACATTTTATTCATATAATTCTTGCATAAACACACACACAGCGTCTGCACATAAAGTCTCGTGCCAACGACAGCACGAGTGTACGGTTAAAGTGACATCACCATCTTTACTAAGTCTGACACACACACACACACACACACATCTTACCTCACAGGGCTTTGGAGACAGTGTCTTTCTGACGTCCCACAACTCTCTGCACGGCTGAAGGCACTACGCACCGACAAAGAAAAAAAAACACAAGGATTAGTAAGAAAATATTCACAGCCTATGGAAAATGTGTAACATTGTTGTTGACAAATCTCAATCTCCCCCTCCATCCCCTGCAGGTGGTGCTATGTACAACATTGGCCCTCAAAAGGGAACCCGCATCTGGTCCACTCTACGCGGACCGTGAGCTGAACATGCGAAATGAGGGTTATTTTCTTTTCCCTTACTGTGTGTTTGGGTTTGGTCAGAATGTGTAAATGTGCTGTCATCTCCATGTCAACAACGTGCAAAAGTATAGGCTGTAAACTACAACGGCACTGTTTTTACCTTGACCCCAGAATCACCCCAAATATTACAAACCCAGCTAATAATTATATAACGTTTGATTTATTTGTAGATTATTTTTCTGTTTTTAATTTTCCGTTTCACAAACGGGTGGGTCTGGTGGTGTTGGTGGTTAGTTCTCCTTTGCCCTTTGACTTTTAAGAATCGTTTAAGAATCCATCTAAATTATGAACTGTCAGGACATCTCAGCGTTACAGATTTTCCCGTTTAAGCAGGTAGGGAAAAGAAAGAAGAAAAAAAAGCAGCTCCAGCTCACATGCCCACATTCATCTGGTTCACCACCCCAGTGAACTGGTGAGTGATGGTTCTTACCAAATTAAAAGCAGACAACATATAAAAACTGCGGTCTCACCCCAAACCTCCATCCCCTCCTCCCTCCGCCTCTCTGTCCGTCTGTCTCCCTCAGCTCCCCAGTGGTCCTGGCTTCAATCATGCCTTCAATTTATTCCCTCTCACCGAGTCCAAGGGAACAAACAGAATCAACAAAAAGCCATAAAAACTTCATCTTTTCACAAATAAATGGCTACTGTTGCGTGAAAGTCTCCTCCACAACCTCAGGATTGATTTAAATGGGCTCATCAGGAGGCTGATGATTAAGTGCTTTCACAATGATAACTGGGACGTTAATGTTTTCAGCAGAGCAGCGTTGAAGAACATTCAAGCCATCATTTCATGTGCAGAAAAGGCAAACACAACATGGAAACCTGGTAACTGGGAGTTGAGAGGCATCAACAAACCAAAGCCAGCGAAGCCACATGGGCGGAGGTCTAAAGTAAATTCTTAGCATGGAGTCTGATAGCTGTTTAATGTTGGACTGACGAGTCATTTAATCCAAGTCATGGGAAAAAAAGAATGGGTTATTTTAGAGTGATTATCTGACAAATGGCAATCTAGATGTTCATGCAAGTTCCTGTACTCTAACAATGTCAACCTTTTGTCTCCTTGGTGTCTGAACACTAAGAAAAACGAGACCAAGACACAGAGAAGGGTTTGTTTTTAGCAATTTGTAACTTTACCTTAACCTTACAAACACAATACAAACAAAAACCGTCTTGTCTAGCCTGTTTATAGCACAACTTGAAACGAACCTTTTTACAGAATTGAAGATGTTATTCAAAATCACGTCAACCTGCAATTTGTGGTCAATAAGTTAGTAGTTTTTTTCTGAAATATTTACTGCTTTTGCCTAAGACAAGTGCATAAACTTTAATGTTGCGGTAAGAAATTTATACATTTGAGATACATTTTTAGATGAGGCCAGGAACAAAGATAGCTGTGTGTGACTACTGCCAGGTGGAGAGCCACAGTTCCATCAAACTATAACAAAATAATGGCATATTCCTGTTTCAATAACCTTGTTCCATCAAAAATAGTAAAAAAAAAAATATCTGAAAATCTGAAACTTATAGACAGAATCTTAAAATACAGCCCAGTGAGTCCATGTTGTGGTGATAAATCTTAATATCCACTGGTATTTAAATATGTCCCATAACGGCCAGCATGTGTTTGAGGGAACTTCAACTTCTGATCAGATGCCTGGCTTGCGTCAGACCAGCCTCAACGATCACAGACACAATGCCGAGCGATTCGTATTTTTTGGACAATGTAGCTGCTGTTAAAACATTTGAGTTGATTTATCTAGATTCATCATGATTAATCATTTTTAATTATAATCAATCCACAGCTGTTCTGTGATTAACTGGGTTAAAAATACAAATAATTTCACAGCCCTAATCAAAACCAAACTCCACCACACCACCTCGCAGGCTCTGACAAGCTACACATTTATCAAAATGTACAGACGGAGGAAGTCGTCAGAAGACGGGGAAGGAAATGGAACAGTGAGAGGAGGTGTTTGTGGTTTTATGTGTCAGTTCATATGCATGCACGTCAAAGTGGGAACTCTTATTCGAACACAAGGGGTGTTAGAACATTTAAGGACTCCCAGTTTAGACATCACAAGCAGCACATTGTGTGTGTTGCACTTCAAAACTTGCCATGTTTCTTTATTTCCACTCGTACTTCCATCCAGGCGCACCACAGCCTTCATTCTCCAACCAAGTATCAAACTCTCACTGCCACCTCTGCAGCCAGGCTTTGTCCAAAAAACACACAGCTCTGAGAGAGTTGAAAGACTTTTGAGCCTGTTGCTCGTTAATGATGCATCCCTAAAGGAGTCTGGGTAGACGCAAAGGTAGTCCAACACAAACAGGCACACACACACACACAACTGCACCACTGCATAGTGATCCTGAAGGGCGATATGCTCTTCAAGGTGCTTTCATGGGTCTCATCACTCTAACCCGTGCTGGGTTGAGTTTAGGCCTGTCGAAATCTTTCACCAGACAATTGCTTTCCTCAACACTACATGCTTTGTTCTCCCTCCTCTCCTACTGTCCTCCCACTTTGATCTGTTACAGACATGTTCCATTTTTCATCCCTGCTCTTACGTCCTTTACTCCCCCTATCAGCCCCGTATGAGGTCCTCAGGTATTTCTGTCCGCAGTCTCCACGTCATCACTGCTCTTCTCCGTGACCTCTACTCTCATCTCCGTCCTTCCTTCATCTCTCCCGCTACCACAGCTTTGTTCAATTCTCCTCCATGATGTCCTCACCTCCTCTCCCTGAAAAGTTCATCCTCCTTCACTGTGTGGTGGTGTAGTTCACACGTGGCACTTCGTACACGCCTGATGTTTTTCTGACGGTGCAGGTTTACGCAGATGTTTTCCATGTTTTGCATGTATATATGTTTTACAACGGTACTTTACACTCACGCGTTTACAGACAAGGTGTGGTTTAAGAGAACTTTCCACCAGAGTGGGAAAGAGGGGGCTGTTTCTTCCTAGCCACATTATTAGGGGCACCCTAATTTATACACTGCATGTATAAATATGTATACATATATATATGTATAATGGGGGAAGTGAGGCTGCAGAAGTTGGGAATTGAGTTTTGACGCCAATGGACCAGACTTCAAAACACAAGGTATAGAGGTGGCACACATTCAGCACTTCTCAAATATCACTTGTAAATCCCAGAGGTGTGATGCGTGTGCATACGAAGCGCTGAGAGATGAGTGAAGCCCTTTGGCCTTGAAGGTGACACGATGACTTATGTGCGAGAGAGTGCAGGGGATGCAGCAGAGGTCGCAGAGGTCAGAGATGTTACTGTTTAACACACCAACACGGTGTAAAAGCAAAGTCGAGATTAATGGCCCCGTGTGTCTACATGTGTGTGCAGTTGGCATATGAGCTGCACTGATACCTGTTTAATAATTGATCACACTCACACACACACACACAGACCCTCGCTCTTCTCAGGCCTCCTCTGGCGTCTCCTGCTGTTTTACGGCCTCACCTGCCACCACGGGGGGGGAGGAGATGAAAGACAGGGAGTGAAACAGGTCCAGAGGGAAAAGAGAGAGAGAAAGGGAAGAGGCTAACATGCCAGATGTGCTCCTTCTCCCTAGATGGTCACCAGTTCAGTTGGTGCAGAGTGGGAGACTATTTATGTTAAACTATGCGTTCAGCCTGTCATCAGCTTTTCAGAGTTTATGTTCCATTTTCACATACTGTGAATGAAACATTCAGAGCCGGGTGTCCCGTTACAAAACCTGAGAGTTGGTGGTTCACCACGGCTAATTGCCTTTTAATTACTCTCCGTGAAGCGATTTTCAATTGTATATGTATAAAGTTCCTAGGTCCACACTGACTGAAGCTCTGACTCTTACATCCTGCCGTTGTAGTTCTCTTGAGCAGGTAGGCTCTACGAGAAGCAGAGGATTTATTGATCATCGTACAAATAACTGAAACACCCAGGGGAGCAAATGTTTTTCGGGTGTTTGCTCAACAAACCACACCCCGGCCAAGGACAAGGAAATGAACTGGCAAACGTACAATGACGTCCCTAATCCTTTATCACTGGGATAAATGGTGGGCACACCTAACAATTGACAAGTGTCATCCTTGTGTCGGAGCCATGTTTTTTGTGTCTGTATCACTCTAAAGTTTCTCTGCCAAAGTCGTGACATACTGAGAATTTTAACAAAGAATTTGTAGTTCCCAATATCAGCAGACCACGTGGCCTAATGGATAAGGCGTCTGACTTCGGATCAGAAGATTGAGGGTTCGAGTCCCTTCGTGGTTAATGATTGCATTAGCAGTGAGACCCTGTACCAATTACAGATATTATAATTATTGATACATTTAGAGAGTGCATAGAATAGCACTCTGATGTTCAGTGTTATAAGTAACATCGGAGTTCTTCTATTCAATGTGTCTAAAAACTTTAGCCATTGAACCTTTTTTGAACACATGAGCAAAAACGACAGAAACAGGCGGTATAGCGACCCAACTGACCTACATCATGGCTCTGCATCACAAGTGTTTGTCCCAGTCCCTCAAACACCTGGTACGTATTACTGCACGTATACGTCCACACGTTTGTGTGTCTGTCAGTGTTTGCCAGTGAAGCCCAGAGATAAAAGACGGAGGAGGCGGGGAGATTGACAGATGGAGCAGTTGACTGAGGGCTGTTGAGGGCTTTTTAGTGATCTCCCATGTGTGTTTCCATGAGTGAGAGTCCACTGATGATGTGACACGAACCATATGAACTGGAGCCACATCTGCCGGGAATCTGCCTGAAATGTTCAAGGACCGAACACGAGGAGGAATTCAACATCAACACTGGGCCTTAACACTGTCGTTGTGTTTAATTTTTATGTCTTTCACTTGTACATGACAACTTAGATCATGTAGGTTTTATGTTACACGTATTAGGTGAGAACAAGCAGAGATGCTAACGTTCCAAGTTTGTATTAGGGCACAAAGAGAAGTTAAGGAAAAACAAATTTGATTCCATTAAATAATTTGTCATAAGGGCACAAATTTGATTCCATTAAATAATTTGTAGAAACTCCTCTAAAGTTACGAGCTCCTTTGGTGAGGAAACGCCTGGGGGCGGAGCACGTGAGCCAAACAAGTGCACGAGCGTGGTGAAGTACAACTCCTGGACAGAGCGTGGTACAGAGAAACTGACCCTAATGTGAGCGCACCACGAGACAGACTTCCACAACTTGTGGAAATGGAGGAACAAAATTGTGATTATAGTCACAACATTTTGCACGCAATTTATTTTTTAATTTGTCAGAATACAACAATAAAAAATTAATAAAATAGAACAGTATAAAAAGGCAACAGAGTGACTGGGCGGGCTGCCTAATCCTCCCCAGTTGCATCAGAAAACCTCCACACTAAGCATGTCCCGTCTCATATCCTGTGAACACACTCGCCCTGGGAGCAGTGCTTCAGCAGAGCTGGACTGCTTCTGCTGTATAACTCATTATTTTGATGAATCTTTGCAAATTTGGCAATTACATGTGCTTCTTTGTGGTAATTTATTTTTCTTGGCCCGCCGCGGTGATTTTTTACAAAGTGGGTCTTATCCATTTTCAACAGACCGTAAAAAGGTAAAAATTAATAACTTTGTGGTTTAAACAAGCACGAAGAGACACTGAGCATGTCTGTGCAGTATCAGGGCTGTCTGAGAGGAAATATGTGGTTTACACAGCGTCAGCCCACACTGGCCCGCTACTGAGGCTGTTAGTGAAAGCCTGGTTACAGAACAGTGCCACACTTGTAAAGTCCAGCATCAACTAATGACCCAAGTTAAATGTTCTGACATGGTACGGGATGAAATGCAAATTTTCTCTGTCGTTGTTAAACACTAAGTGTCAAAAAAAGAAATGAGTAAAAAGGGGGGAGAGGAGGAAAAACAAGGAAAGAAGAACATAAAACTTTGTGTGTTTGTATTTTATTTTGTTTGAGGAGGACCTGGGGGCTGCTGAAAGTTAACGTCTGATCCTTGGCCCAGTGTGGTATCCCCTGCAACTGTTTGATGGAGGGATTTTTTGGGAAGGAGTTTCTCTTGGCTTGTGTTGACATTAACCTCTACTAACCCCATTACACACACACACACACATACGCACACACAGATACTTCCAGAGGTTGCATGAAAGCGCTCCTGTTTTTGCCTTTATCTTTATCTGACTGTCAAACGAATTTGTAGCAAATGCTTGGAAATGCTTGCGTAAAGTGAAATATGACGCAGGTGTTCTTCAGGCCCGAGTGCTGAAGCCTTTATGTGGTCCAGGACATGAACGGTGTGTTAAATGAATGGGAAACGTGACAGAATCTTTCAGGAGGTCATTCGTACTCAGTGAGGTAATGCAAACATATGGGACAGTGTCTTTCCCTCTGCTCCACCCGCTGCCTTTGTCTGTGTCTACGTGATGAGACCGCTGGTTCAAAACACCCACAGCCATAATGTCCACAGAGCTGTGACTAAAGTGGAGCTGCAGCAGCACACAGGACAACCTGGCAACTAAAAATACTCGTGGAAACTCCCCTGAATCAAACAATAAATTTACGCACGCACAGGAAAAAAAGAAAAGCTACTGGCAGCCGGTACGAAGTGAATAAACAGGGGCTTAACTTTGCTCCAGTGAGGATGGATAGATACAGAGGAGTTTTATTTTAAATAAAAACACATTTGATTTGGTATTACAATAGTCATGCGGTGGGTTTAAAGATTCCACAGAGGAGGCAAATAAGAAAAGGGTTTTCTTTTCCTCCTTCCACTCACTCAGTCGGAATAACAGATACATGTATAGTTGTGTTTCTGCCAGTTATTTATGATAAATGCAGCTGGACATATTTTC